AAAGAAACAGATAAATAAAGGGAGTGAGATAGAGAAAGAGAGAGAGAGAGATAGCGAGAGAGAGAGAGGGGGTGGGGGAGGGAGGGACAGAGAGATGGGCGAGGTTGTTTTTAATCTAGATATTATTATTTTCACGCTCCCATCTGCACAATTTAGATTATTTAGGAGGCGGGCTTCTGACCCTGCCTGTCAGCGCTACCCTGGGCTGAGACGGATACACCATCCCAGTGGAAAAACAGATATACTAGATAAGAATTCTTCCGACTTTGAATCAAACTCGGGTCTTCCGAGTACGACAGCGAAGCGTCTAAGCGCTACACCACATACGCCGGTGTTGAACGCACATTATTCCACGAGCAATCCCCACCCCCCCCCCCAAAAAAAAAAAAATTGATTTTAAAAAATTAAAAAACCAATAAATTAATATATTAAAAATTAAAAATTACCCTGCAAAAGTCACGTGACACACAATAGCCATCTGATTGGCTGTTGTTGATTTTCATCAAATGCATCTAATTGTGACAGGAGGTCGATGTTTCGCCGCATTTACGTCGCGGCGTGTACTTGTGGAAAATATGAATGGTCGTTTCGCCGCAGATTGCATTCGATTACAACTAGATTTAATCAATGATAGTACATAACAAGATGGGCCACTTCTCTCTTTGAGCCAATTAAAAAAGTGTCCTCAAAATTTGGTGGCGCCCTCTTCACAAAAGCGCACTCTTTGCGAACAGAGTTACCCTACTTGAGTTTTTAAAAATCAAAGTGAAACTAGCATGTTTTGGGATAAATTTCGGAAGAACGCTTTTTTAAAATGGTTACGCTGACAAAAAAACCTCTTCCGGAGGAAAGGGTGATAGTTTTCTTCGTTTAATTTGACTTTAGAATGAAAGGCGAGAGGTCATTAAAATTTTAAAAACCCTAAAACTCCGCACTGAACGTACCCGAACTGCTGATGAACAGCAGTCGATATGCGCACGCAAGGAGGTGCTATTCCTATTCTTCTTCTGGAAAAACGAAGGAGAGCTTCAAAACAGACTGCAGCGCCATCTGAAGCAAAGAGCATACTTCCTGCGGACACTTTTTTGGCTGAGTGGCCCATCTTGTTATGTACTATCATTGATTTAATGTAGTACGGTGCGAGTTTGTCCTGCTCACCAACTAGGACGTGGAAGTAGGACTTTGAACAGGATGGATTTATATAACTGCATGACAGTGAAGATTTAAAAAGTGATGTCTCAGGTACTTTTTATTCTGTACAAACCTATATAAACATGGTTTTTTTTCAACATAACAACCAGTTTTTGAGTGTGTTTATTGATCTCTGGTAACATCTCTAGTCTTCAACACTTATATGACATCATTGTGTTACAAGTGTCGTAAAACTCTTACAAAAACTAACCCACTCTGCAGAATACTTGCAAGGGGCAATTTCACTTTTCTCTTGGTGGTTGCTTGGCACTGATGGTTTCAAGGAGAGTACTAGATCAATTGGATAGAAATTGCGGAAAACGGGAGGGGGAGAGAGAGAGAGAGAGAGAGAGAGAGAGAGAGAGAGAGAGAGAGAGAGAGGGGGAGGGAGGGAGAGAGAGGGAGAGAGGGGGGGGATCGGCCAGATTTTAGTTTTTCATATTTTTCGCAATGAAATACGACGTTTTCGTCTACATCCAGATTCTTTGAGGAGGCAGATCGAATACTGAAGCCCGGGGGTTCCCTCATTCTGTATAGTTTTGGCCCAGAGTCCTTCACACATCCTGAGGCCGACAGATACATACAGTATGTGAGTACCGTAATCGCCACTGACAGATACATACAGTATGTGAGTACAGATATCCCCATTGACAGATACATACAGTATGTGAGTACAGATATCCCCATTGACAGATACATACAGTAAGTGATTACAGCAGAAATCCCCACTGATCTACCTTGGAAATGACTGACATATCCGGAAACGCTACTGGTGTCACCACCCAGATGAATACTGCAATGTTATTCAAAGATACGACTTCTAAATTTAACGCCGCCACCACCACCACCACCACCACCACCACCACCAACAACAACAACAACAACAACAACAACAACAACAGCAACAACAACAACAACATCCACAATTACAAAAATAACGACAACAACAATAATAACTTCAACAACATTGACGACGACGACAAGAACAGCAATTACTACAATAACAATGACCACAACATTAATAACTACAACAACAAAAATAAGTACAGCAGGAATTATGACGACGACAACGACGACGACAACAACAACAACAACAACAACAACAACAACAACAACAACAACAACAACAACAAACGAACTACTGTCCCATTCTTCCACAGCTAAATCTATCTTCCAAATACGTGGCAAAGTATTACCCGGCAACAGAGAAACTCATCAACAGATACAGGGACGTGACTTTACCTTATCCAGGGTGGCGGAGGTGAGGAAAGCAGGAATACATGTTGTTTGTGTTGTCGTTGTAGTTGATGTGGTTGCTATTGTTCCTGCCCCTGCTGCTTTTGCTGTTGCTGCTGCATCTGCTGCTGCTTATCCTACCCAAGGTGATGAAGTGAATTGTGGTAACTGTGGCTGAGAATGACAGATACTTGTTACTTTTTTAAAAAATTATAGCTGTTGTTGTTATTTTTATTGTTGTTAGTGCTGTTGTTGTTGTTGTTGGTGGTGGTGGTATAGTTGTTGCTGTTGTTATTGCTGTAGGTATTGTTATTGTAGCTGCTTCTCTCTCATTTCATTTTGCTGATATGACAAAGTCATTGTTGTTATTGTTGTTGTTACTGCTGTTAGTTGTTTTGCCTCATTGCATAATTATACGTATCCTGCTGCTACTTCTGCTCTTATGTGTTTTGCTCTTTCTTTCCAACAAATATCTATTGCACTTATCTCTCCTCCTCTTTTTCTACTTTTTAAATAAGTGTTTTACGGCGCTCGCAACTGCATAAGATCATATGAGCGCGCGGGACACATTAAACTTTTTCAGTTGGTAGGAAATTTTGACTTTTGCCCGGGACGGCCGAAGCCTACTCTTATCGATTTTAGACCACCAAGGGATCTTTAACGTGCACACATTGCACACAGGTCCTCCAAGATTTTTAGCCCTCGTCCGAGAAGGCTAGGTGTAGATCTTTCCTACCAGAAGATCAGAGGTGTGGCTGAAAGACAGCGGTAAGAATGAGCCAAGGGGTAGTAGTAGAAAGGCCGCAGAAAGAGTCAAGAGCCCAGAGTAGGGGCAAAGGAGCTGAGGGGGTGGGGGCATAAAGTGGAGATGAAAGCAGACGACAGAACATTGCTAGACAACAGCAAAGGAGGTGAAAGGAGACAATTTTAGAGAAGAAATTGTTTCGGTTGCTACCCGGATTCGAACCCAGGACCTTTGAATGAGAATCGAACACCTTAACCTCTAGGCCACGAGAGCCCCTTGTCTCCTCTTTGTCAGATCAAAAGCTTTCAGCTATCCAGCTATAAAAAAGCGCGCGTTAAGAGAGAACGCTGCTCGCAAGATACACATTCAGAGCCATTAAACCTCACTAGGCAGGCGGGTGGTTGGGGGGGGGGGTGGTCTGATGTGCTTTGCTCCTTCTTTCCTATCAAACATCTATCGTCCTGATGTCTCCTCCGTCTTTGCTTGTGTTTATTTCTCTCTTGTGGCACCTCTAATCTTTGGCACTTATAATGACCTTATTGTGCTGCAAGTGCCGTAACATTCTTACTATAACTAAAACCACAAGGACGAATGCTTGCGTGCGACATTTTTGCTCTTCACTTGGTGGTAATGGCGCGGCTCATGGTGCACATGTTGGGTACTGAAGTTTTCAAGGCGAGCCAAGGGCAGTGCCATAACAGTGCACGGTTTAGGATATTAATAATTCAGGTCCATGTCATCCACCAAAGCTCCCTGTCACGGACATGCTTGATCCTTTACAAGAATGACATAAAAACAAACCCTTTGATCCCCACACTCCCCCCCCCCAAAAAAAAAACCCAACACATACACACACAGACTCACACACACACAAACAAGCACACACACACAAGCACACACACACAAGCACACACACACAAGCACACACACAAGCAAACACACACAAGCACACATACATATACACATACACACACACATTAACACCTACTAACACACACCCATACAGCTGTTATTCCAGTTGCCTCTTACGGACCGGTGTTAATGAAAGTGAAAAATTTACAAATGAGCACACACAAGAGCAAACTCGAGAGTGGCTCTTTTATCCAAATATAAAACAAATGTTAGGATCTTGCAGGGTGTTTTGTTGACAATAAATAAAGTCGTCATAGACATTATGCGGCGATAATGGCTCTCCAGTTAATGATTATATTAGGTAATCCTCAGAAATGTTACGGTACCTTGACTGTGTGTAGTTACCCAAGAATTAAGTCTTAAAAATAATAGTATTATCAAGTCGCCCTTGGCTAGCTTCTACCTCTCTGTTTTTCCTAAGAAGTAGGATTTTTTTAAAGATACAATGTCTCGTATGAAAGTTTGCTCAGGTGAACTCGTTACACATAATAATATCTATGGATATTATTATTCTCTTTCAACTTCAGGACTTTCCATTAAGAGTTTTACAAACTTCGATCTGAGGAGAATCGTTCCTCGGTGGCAAGGCATAATAATATTATGTGCACTCACACACAACACTTGACTTTAAATCTTTCTTGTTTTCTAATGTAATACAAATGGCCAGTGAGGCAGTAGGCTGTCATAATTTAAGCAAATCGATGGAAGTTCAGGTCTTGAATCCAGATAGAACCCAAATCTTTCTCTTTCTTCTTTCAAAATACCCTCTCCGATTGGTTTTTCTTCCAGCACCATAATGCTCCTAACAAAAGCCGGCAAAAGGTCTGAGTTCGATTCCCACCATAGAAGATTATTGTAATGAATAAGTAACTGCGTGGTTCTATTGGTACGTCAGTGTATCCCGCCTGTCAAACTATCTCAATTCAACATTTCAAAACTGTCACGACGTGATGGAATCAGGCGCTCGTCAAATGTTGAGCATATTATAGAGTTATTGGTTTCATCTTAAAGCCTGCTCATTAAAATTTGTCTTGCGTTCAATAGGATAATTATCCATATATTATCTTACATAGAAGTGGGGATATTTTGGAGTGAAGGAGGTCGGGGATTATCCATTGGTTTCAGAGAAAATAGCTGCAAAGCTCGGTGACTTCCAAAGCTTAAGAGTCCTTGGAAACAGAAAATTTACTGGGGGGGGGGGGGTCTTTTCATTAACGTTTTTCGAAACATCCACTTAGAAATGGTTTTTTAGAAGGACATGAAAGGTGTTGAGCCAAAAATTAAAAAATCGAAAAAAAATCACCAAGCGTCCTAAAAAAATGCCTGTATCTTCCATTTCATTATTTTGACGAGCGCCTGATTTCAACACGATGCCTTACAATTTTCACTAACTCCCTATCAGTCTTGCGAACAGTAGAAAATGACCATCATCTAAACCAAGACTTGACACATATACTGTTTGGTTCCCATCCCCTGGTAACATACCGCCAACCTGGTGATGCAGTAGATTCCCGGACACTCGAACACACCTGGAAATGACAGAGTAGACACACTAATTGTCAAAAGGGGATATAGACAGGGACAGACCAACATTTAAACGTCATATAACACTGTAAAACAAATTATTAAAAGCAACAACAAACAAGACTGGATTAACAGATGGGCCTTCGGAAAGACTGGGAGAGCAGTTTTCAAACATATAACTACTATAAAACAAATGACAATATCAACCATCTACCGAGAAAGAAGCAGACCACTGTCTTCTGCCTACGAACAGAACATGTAGGCCTACACCTCAACTTCCACTTGAGCAGAAATAAACAACAACCAGAACTTCCCCTTGTATGTCCTTTTTGTGACAAAGCAAATCAGACTGTGGATCACCACCTATTCAACTGCATGCACAACCCTAAATGGCATCAGGGCAACACTTCTTCCTCCGAGACTTAACATTGACAACACACTCTATGGAACATTTCAGCAACTGCAGCAAACCTGCACGACATGGCACTGGACAGAACAGCGAGGACCCAGCTATTGCTGGATCAATGACTACAACACAACACAACGACTACAACAACAACAACAACAACAACAACAACAACAACAACAATAACAACAACAACAACAACAGATGGGAGGAGGTGGAGGCATAAAGCTCCAACCATCATAATTTACTCTCCTCCCCGTCTCTCTTCTCGCTCTCTCTCTCTTTTTCTCTCTCATTCTCTCTATCTGTCTCTTGCTCTCCCTCTGTCTCTCCATCTCTGTCGTTCAATATATCTGTCTCCTTACTCTGTTTGTCCCACGATTATCTGCCTGTTTGTTTTTCTGTCTTGCGCCCTCTCTCTCTCTCTCCCACTTTCTTTTTCTCTCGCTCTGTCACTCTTTCCCACGCACTCTCTCACCAGCACACACACTACTCCTCCCCTCCTCCGTTTCCTCCCCCCCCATCCCCTCTCCCTCTCCCTCTCACTCTCCCTCTCCCTCTCCCTCTCCCTCTCCCTCTCCCTCTCCCTCTCCCTCTCTCTCTCTCTCTCTCTCTCTCTCTCTCTCTCTCTCTCTCTCTCTCTCTCTCTCTCTCTCTCAATCCCTCTCTCCATCCCTCTCTCAATCCACAGGGAAGAGATTGAGCCCCTTCTCTATGATTTGAGTATAGAAGACTACGGGGGCTTTGTTGCGTCACTGGGGTCAGCCCAGTGGTTTACAGACTCGCCTCGGGGGCACGACCTGCCAGGGGAAATCATCAGAACGTAAGAGATTGTATAGTTATTTCAGGGGAGACGACCAGAATATAGGGATTAGAACAATGTTTTATTTCAGGGGAGATCATCACCAGAACATAAGGAATAGAACGATGTTATATTTATGGAGAGATTACCAGGACATAGGGAATAGAACAATGTTTTAATTCAGGGGAGATTATCAGAACGTAATGAAATAAAACAATGTTTTATGATAGGGAATATTAACAGAAGAAGAAATAACACAACGTTCTGTCTCAGGGGATGTTACCAAAACAAAAAAGGATGTCAAGACCCTGGTCAAGACAGCGAGAAGAATAGCACAAAAATATAGTCAAAGAAATAGAGCACAGTGTCATATTTCAAGGGAGATCATCAGTACGTAAGCAATAGCACAACTTTTTCCTGAAGGGAGATAATAAGAATGTAAGGTATATTACAATGCCACTGGGGATGCTGTTGTTCATGGTTGATGTGTTGTTAATGTTATTGTTGTTGTTGTTGTTGTTGTTATGTGTCTGTGTGTGTTTATATTATACATATAATTTTTTAAATAATATATATATAAATATATAAAAGCGTATGTGTGTGTGTGTGTGTGTGTGTGTGTGTGTGTGTGTGTGTGTGTGTGTGTGTGTGTGTGTGTGTGTGTGTGTGTGTGTGTGTGTGTGTGTGTGTGTTCGAAAGTATGTTACACTATCCCTTCTGTTTATCACACCCCAGGCTGCGATTTCTGTGTTGGAAGGAGTTGGACTCTGACCTTGACTACAAACTGACAGTGAGCTTCCCGCTGTTTTTTGTGATGGGCCGAAAACCCAACGGTGGAAAGAAGAAACAATAAAATATGCCACAAGTAATTAATATAATTTCAAACTGTACCTTCACTTTCTTTAAAATATTTTTTTATGTTTATTTCAAGATTGTTCAACTCGTCTTGTAGTTCCCATAAAGATTTTTTTTCTTCGCTCGGTCCAAGTAGTCTATTCTAAAATACAAAAGGAAAGAAAGAAAGACAAGGGGGAAAGGGGGGGGGGGGGCTATATTTCGTATTTTCGTATTTTCTGTGTCTTTTTGTCGGTCTATTGACTCAGATGTTTACGTGACCGGTGTTTCTGGTGTACTGGAAGACACTTCATTTCACTGTTGCATTTCCACGCAGAAGAAAAGATTACAACTTTAATCAGTAGCAGCAACAGTAAAAACGACCACAAACCAATTGCTGGGTAGGCCTAACGTATTAGGGATGATTGAATTTCGAAACCTAATGACCGGACGTAATGCGATTGAAATTTTTTAAGCGCCAATTTGTGTGCCTTATTAATTATGTCAGTGCAGTCCGTAAAGTAAACTTTTGTGTTGAGAATCTGCCTCAGCGAATTCTTTTTCCATATAATTTGTTGTACAGGTAACGTTGGAACAAACACGCTGTCGCAGAGGATATAAAGGGGTTAATCCTGATATTTGAATTATAATTAATGGTTGGTGGGGACTAGAAATAACGCATCGCTCGGGCCAACTGTGTGGCTGCTCCTTATGTGAAAATATTCGTTGCTTTCTCCCATGACTTCTTGTCTATTGAACTTATGAAGTTGTAATCAAAACGTTTGTTTGAACTTCTTGTTTGAGTAAAGACAGGGACACTTTCACAATAATATCCATTTCGTTCAACATAATACATGTAGTATGGCACACAGAGAAAAAAAAACACGCACACACACACACACACACACACACACACACACACACACACACACACACACACACACACATACACACACACACACACACACACACACACACACCTACCTGCCTACCTACTTCAAATACACAAAACGGTGTTTCCTATGAAATGTCTTTCGTCCTTTTCTCTTCTCCTTTTTGTTTATGTTTGTCACTCTCTTGTAACAAGTCTAATCTTTGGCACCTATTTTACCTTATTTTGTTGCAAGTGCCGTTTAAAATCTTACTGAAACTAAAGTCAAACACAGTACAGATCTGAAGGTTCCCGTGCACTTTAGCGCACCGTCAACAGTTATAGCTGAGAACGATATTGTCATCATGGAGGGTGCTTGCTCTTGTGTTGATCACGACATTGATTTATTTCAATTTATACATCTTTTTTGAATACCCGTTGTACCAAAACTAGTTATAACAGTAAAAACAAAATACTACTGCTGTTGCTGGTGACACAAACCAGAACATGACATTCGAGGAGATAATAAAAGTTATCGAGGCTAAAGAGAGTAACGAGCGCTCTGCCTTGCGGCTACATGATCGCACAGCTGCACCCGTCATACCGCACACCTTCACCTCGGCGGCCTCCAGTAGTTATCGCCAACAGCAAAAACCATGCCACTATTGCGGTTCAAAAGACAAACATGGAACCCGCAGACGTGACCGGGAGAAAATCTGCCCTGTCTTTATTAACACTGTCTGCCCCAAATGCAAGATAAAGGGGCACTTTGAGTCTGTGTGCCGAGGGGGTGTCAGAAAACAAAATAACACTACTCGTGACAATGTTAATGTTTGTGAATGTTTTTGTGCTCTATTGATGATTTTGTTGATTAAGTCAATGTAAACACTGATGTCAGTGGGGAGGTTAAACATCTGGATCACCACATTTATAATGGTATGTGCACGGTCTGGGAGTGCCGCAAGTCGGACCCTCAGCCTTTCATGATTGATTGAGTAGGTGTTTTACGGCACTATCGACCCAATCTTGGTCATTTAAGTGCCAACAGGTTTCACTGCAACAGAATCAGACTTGTCTTAGTTAGAGTTTTTCAGAGCTTGCAACCGCACACAGTCACACTATCATCATTATGCTGACATGAAAGGACGGACAGACATTTATGAAAATTTTTGTAAATATGGTAAAGACTTATTTACATTTGTATATACAATATCAATTTCAGTGTATGTATATATATTTACACCGACAACGATATCTATGTATTTCTATATCTTATTAAATAGTCATATTTCTTTAACTTTTATTTTAGCTCTCTGTGCAGAGTATGAATTATACATCACAAATACTCTTTACCAGCACAGGCCAAGTCAAACTCAGTCGTGGTACAAATGGAACAACCTAGAAATTTCCTCACAGATCGGCTTCATACTAAGACGAATCGCTCATAGCACAAAAACAACTGATGCAAGATCAATCCCAAACATCACCTTTGATACAGATCACCAACCTGTGATGATGACGAGTAAAGAGAAAAAAAGACCCATGTGAAAAACAGAAGAAACATTTAGAGAACATTAATTTACGAAAACTCAATGAAGAGGGCAATGTGCAGAAAGTTGAGGACGAGATCACAAAGAGACTAGAAAACCGAGACACCAGTTCTATGAACGTTGAAGAAACATGGACTCTCTTTAAAAACTTACTAACAGAAACACTGATAAAAGTATGTGGAAAGAAGAGAATTGGGAAAGGATACGTTAAGGGAACACCATGGCGGAATGACAACGTTAAAGAGGCCATCACAGAAAAGAAGAAACTTTTTCAGAAATGGATAAAATCCCAGGACGAAAACGAATACACGCAATCCAGACTAGCAAGAAGGAACTGCAAAAGAGTTGTTAGAGCATCAAAAAATGAATCTTGGACAAAATATGGAGAACATCTAAGCGAACTGTGCCATAAATCACCACGTGACTTCTACAGAAGTATAAAATCAATGAGGCTAAGAGAAGAACCGTACGACCCAACAGCTATAATTAATGACAAAACAGGAAACCCCATTATTGATAGCTCCAAAATCAAATCTAGATGGAGGGAATATTTCTCAGAACTTTTGAACACTTCCCAAAAGCAAACAAGCAAAGAATTCCAACCCAGTCACCCAAAGGAAGAAGAACCAACCATCCTACCATCAGAGGTCAGACGAGCAGTTAAAACAGCCCCAAAAAACAGAAGCGCTGGAATGGATGAGCTTACCAAGGAGACCACCCTAGCATGTGGTGAAACTGGAATAACTTGGCTCACAAAAATCTTCCAGAAAGCATGGACAGAAAGAAAAGTTCCCGGCGACTGGCAAATAGCGGTCATAGTACCAATCTGGAAGAAGAAAGGCAGTAAGAGAGACTGTGGAATGTATAGAGGCATTTCACTGATAAGCCATGTGGGCAAGATGTTCGCCAGGATATTGGAATGGCGAATAAGACACAAAGTTGAACCATTTATGAGTGAGGCCCAAATGGGGTTTAGAAAGGGAAGAGGATGCACCGACGCAATATTTTCCCTACGACAAATGTGCGAAAGGTAATAGAACACAACAGGGAACTAAATATAGTATTTATCGACCAGAAGAAAGCGTTCGACAGAGTGAACAGAAACAAGCTGTGGAAAGAACTCCAAAACTACACTGTAAGAGGCCAACTTCTAGATAACATCCGTGCCATTTACGAAAACTGCATAAGTACAGTAAGAACGTCAGAGGGACTCACATAATGGTTCGAGATAACATCCGGAGTAAGACAAGGTTGTGTCCTATCACCACTACTATTTATCATATATGGATAGAATTACAAAAGAGGCCAACACAGTAGTACCAGACGCCCTAAATGAATTACTCTTCGCTGATGACCAAAGCCTTACACACAAAGATGAACGAAGTCTCCAACACCACGCCACCAGATTAAATGAAGAATGTAACAACTACGGCATGAGATCAACATCAACAAAACAGAGACAATGAAAGTAAGCAGAAAGCCAAAACCACTCAGGATACACATCAACAACAATAGTCTCAGACAGGTCCAAGAATTTAAGTACCTCGGAAGTATATTTACAGAGGATGGGCGACTGAACAGAGAAATTGAAACACGGGTACAAAAGGCCAATAATGTTAGTTACCAGCTTACTCCACTGCTGAAACATCCTAACATCCCCATGACAACAAAATTCAAAATGATCAACACCATATTCATCCCAACATTCACCTATCAATGCCAAACATGGACCACGAACAAGACATTAAAGCAAAAATTTACAACATGTGAAATGCGATGCCTTAGAAAAGCAGTAAAAAAGACCAGGCGAGACAAAATTAGAAACTCTGTAATCCGAGAAATGGTGGGCACAAATGATGTCATGCATCACATCCAACACCAAAGAATCAAATGGTTCGGACATCTCCTACGATTACCAACACACCATCCAGCACAACGTGCCTACCTCCAGAAATTCGATGGCAACAAGGCTACAAGGCGACCGAGAAAGACCTGGATAGATGGAGTCAGGGAAACATTAAACACCAACGGCATCCCCCTGACGAAAGCTCTCCGGCCTGCGACAAAGAGACGTCTCTTTCTTCCTGCGACGCTCAAACGGGCATAAGCGGCGGATAAAACCAACAAACAAACAAACAATTTCTTTAACATAACTTAACCTTTTTCTAGGGTCAACAATGTCAAAAAGGGTTTTGATATCTTTACATTTAAAATATTTCTTACGTAGGCCTACATCATTAAATTCGACACATTCGGTTAGGAAGTGCCTAACACGCCACACAAAAAGGAGCTTCTTCTCCTTCAGCCTTTCATCAATGTGGTGATCCATGCTGAAACCTCAGATTATACCGCCCTTGGCTTATCTCCTCCCCCCAAGGCCATCAATGCCACCCACTATAAGGCCATGGCAGACACAGGATGCCAGTCCAGCCTTGCTGGAGTAGAACTCCTTCGGGAATTGAGACTAAATACCTGTTATCTCATACACGTAACAATGCAAATGAGCGCGGCTAACGAGAAACGCATATATATTCTTGGTGCTCTCGTGCTCCGCATCTCAGGCATGACAAAGGAAGGTAAGCAATTATAAACTAGTCAGTTAGTCTATTTCACAAACGACACTCACAAGTTTTACCTAAGTAAATAGGCATACATCGTTTTGGGAATGATCTCCAAGAATTTCTCGACTATTGGAGAACACCGAGTACATGACAGCCACATGGGAGATCCTGATCCCACACTAGTTAACTCACTGACAGCAGTTTCCACGTGCCCGCCACGCCTTCCTCCCCCCGAACGCGCCACTCATCTTCCATTCCCGCCGACGGAAGAAAATCGTGGCAAGCTTGAAGACTACCTTCGAGAGCTATAAGCGTCATCCACATTTAATACGACAATAGAAGACAGTCCTCGACGCATGGAATGGCTACTATAGTGTAAAATTGCCCGAGGGCGACGTGCATCTGACCACGTTTATCACCCCTTGGGGTACGTATAGGTATAAAGTTGTTCCTCAGGGCTACCCTGCCTCTGGTGATGGCTATGGCTAATTCGGACGCTATGAGGAGCTGGTGTCAGATGTCAGACAAACAACCAAATGTGTGGAAGACACCTTACTTTGGTCTCAGACAATAGAGGAGTTAAGCGTTTCACCAAACCGTCAACTTGCTGGATATACTCATTTGTGGGAGAAATGGCATAACCCTCAACCTGGACAAGTTCGTCTTCACAAAAGACACTGTGAAATTTTCTGGCTTTGGAATTTCACAGACCACAGTCCGCAAATGTCCCGGCATCCGTGAGGCCATCAGAAAATTTCCCACCCCAAAAAGAATCGCTGATGTACGATCTTGGAGCGGCTTCATCAACCAGATGTCTTATACATTCTCATCAACAGACAAAATGGCACCCTTCAGAGACTTGCTCAGTCCCAGCACCCGGTATGGTCTGATGAGCTTGACAGACTCTTCAAGGAATCAAAAGACGCTATCATTGAGGAAATCAGTCACGGCGTCCAAATATTCGACAAGTCACTGCCGACAAGCCTAGCCGATGACTGGAGCAAAGACGACATTGGTTTTTGGCTCCTCCAGAAACATTGCAACTGCTAGCCCACCAAACCATTCTCTTGAAACGGCGGATGGTAAGTGTCACTCGTAGGCAGCAGATTCACCACATGTGTCGAATCTAGATACGCACCCATCGAAGGAGAGGCCCTTGCACTACTTGCAGTATTCGATGCCCTCGATAAGGCGAGACACTTTTTCCTCGGCTGTTCGGGCCTCGTCATTGCTGTGGATCACAAACCACTGCTCAAAGTTTTGGTGGCAGATATCTAGACGGCATAGCCAACCCGAGTTTGAAAAACCAAAAGGAAAAGTCGTTAAGATACAAATTTCGACTGGTTCATATACCCGGGATTCACCACAGAGCCGCTGGCAAGTCAGAAGATCTTAAGCTGACATTCCATATGCCCGAAAAACCGATGCGAACTTCGGGTGCGAATTTCGCTTGCGAATTATTTTTTTCTCACCAACGTTTTTGTCATTGGGTGAATCCATATACCGGAATTTCGCATGGCCGAGTCCGAAATTCGCATGCGAAGATTTTGTTTCGCACGAGGGAGCGAAACTTTTTTCTTCGGATGCGAATTTTTCGTGAAGTGGGCGGGGCTTATTTCCAGGAAAATCTACTACTTCAAAGGAACGAAGCAGCATAGAATATGATAGAAGCACTAGATAAGTGGGGAAAACGTCGAAATGTTGATTTCCTTGGTTCGAGAGAGAAGTGTTAAAACCAAGACTGAAAAGAAGTGTTTATTTTCAAGATGGCTGTCATTTGCATGGCAACCACTTTTTTTTTTAGTTTGTGGGAAACTTTCGGGAGTCTTATGTAATCTATCTATGCTATCATTTATCGTTTAAATCATGTAATAACTAAAAATAGCTTTTCACTTACACCCCCCCCTCCTTAATTAAATGCACTTGAATATAACTTCTAACATACATTAATTATAACTTAAGATTGCTGTCTGTGCCGCAGCCACATCAGCCAGCGCTGTCGGTGATAGGACCGAAGCTTCGCAAAAAAAAACGACCCAAGAAAGCAAAGCTTATGAAGGAAGGACCATCATCAAGTCTGGACAAAGCAATTTAAAGCTGCTTTCGTAGGAACAGGAGTTCCAACAGTAAAATTCTCTTGTTTTCAACGTAGAGTGCTTGCTCTGACTGAACTGGTGCCGTGATTTCAGTCAGATGACGGATACGAATTTCGCGTATATGGAAGGAGGGCTCTTTTTTCATCGCACCCGAATTTCGTACACGAAATTCGCACCCGAAGTTCGCATCGGTTTTTCGGGCATATGGAATGCCAGCTTTAACCTCCAGGATGACGTTGCGACACTGTCCCACACCTTTTTGGAAAACATACGGGCCCAACCACCTTCAAGGGACGAGAGCCAGGAAAGCACAACTGATGGAAAAGATCCAGGCCGTTACTTGGACTGACATCTGCACTGAAACATCAAGAGGCGAATTGATACACACGCTGCTGTCATTGATTGAAGATAGACTACCCGATACCTGCAAAGAAATGCCACAAGAACTACAAACTTACTTCCCATTAAGGGATGGACTGTACACCCTCGACGGAGTAATATTGTACAAAGATCGAATCGTTATCCCCCCCCCCCCCTCTGCGTGCGCCAAAAGGTCTTAGACTCCCTACACTCTGCACATCAAGGCATAACATCTATGACAGCCAGAGCGGAGGCCTCTGTCAATTGGTCTGGGATAACAACAGACATCCACAACATGCGCACTTACTTCTCTCAATGCAACCGCAATGCCCCGTCTCAGCCACCTGCCCCTATAGTTGCACCAACAATTCATGTATACCCATTCCAGATGATTTGTGCAGACTACTTTCATCACCGTGGGCAATCATACTGCGTAATTGTAGACCTGTTAGAGCAACTGACCAATAGTGGAGAGGGCGAAGGAAGGAACCAAAGGACTGATCACCAGCCTCAGGGGGACCTTTGTCCCATTTGGCATCTGTGAACAGCTGACGTCTGATGGCGGCCCCGAAATTTACAGCCACACAGACAGAACGGTTCCTAAGGGACTGGGGTGTCTAACACCGGGTATCCCTCTATAGCTTACCGGGCAGATATCGCAGTGAAGACGACTAAACGACTCCTGATTGACAACACTAGTCCTGCAGGTATTTTAGACACCGGTGCATTCCAACGAGCTATGCTTCGGTACAGGAACGCACCGGACAAAGAAACAGGCATATCTCCAGCTCAATGCATCTTTGGCAGACCAGTAAGGGACTTCATCCCCATCCTATCAAGTCGTTATAAACCCCACCCTACATGGTGAGAAACACTCTCCGCTCGAGAGGAAGCACTAAGGCACAGACACATGAAAATGTCAGAGAAATTGACAGAGCACACGATACTGTAGCAGCCATTAAGAGTCGGAGACAAGTGAGGATATAGATTCAGACAGGGCCACACCCCACCAAATGGGATAGAACAGGGACAGTTATAGACGTCTGTCAATATGACCAGCATGTGGTCAAGGGACATGGATCTGGGAGAGTTACCCTACGCAATCGTCGGTTCCTCAGAAAGTACATACCCGCCATTCCCGCTACTGCCTTCCCACTGCTTTATGACTCTAGGTGCGCAGTACCCAAGCCCTGCCTAGACCTGATGCAGTCGAATGAATAACTCCACACTTGGACCAGGTTCCTTCAAAGACGCCTAACCCCTGTCACAACAATCCACAGGAGTTTGTTCTCAACCCAATGATCCGACCAATCACCCTGAGTTAGGAATGCCCGATCCGACCGTCCCCCCGGAGACCCCACCTTAACCCCAACTTACCATCTCATCCGAGCAACCATTTCCAGCACCACCATTAGCTGACATCAGGCCACAGTCGCCATCCGGATCAAATCCAGACAAACCACAAACACCTAAGGTCCCATTGGCACTCAGACGCCTTGCCCACCATCACATGCCAGGGTTACTAGAAACCATGGTCCCTTTGAGACAAGATAGATCTCTAAGGAGTGCAATGACAGACCTAATACCAATAATTAGCCTTTTTGAGAACTATTTGTATTGTACATGTATCTCTGTACACTAAAGACTTGGGGGGGGGGGGCGTAGTGTAGTAGGTCATCACTATGTTGCATGATGTGTCGTGGTGTCTAATGTGGCGTTATTTCATGTATGTTACAGATACCGTGATCATCGTTGTGTTATACCTATTCGTGAATGAAAGGACAATATAAACTAAACGATGAGGAGTCATTAAAATCTTTATTAGGGTGAAAACTTTTATAAGAACTTTAAGAAACTAATGTAAAATAATCTGGACACAAACGTAAAAGTACGTTTTTAACCAAACACATTGTGTACAGTTCGGAAATATTACAACTCGAAACGTATTTTATTGCCCATTCTTTTCTCTGTCGGGTTTTTGGCCCATCACATAGAACAGAGGGATATTCATTGTCAGCTTGTAGTCAGGGTCAGACTCCAGCTCCTTCGAACACAGAAACCGCAACCTAGGATGTGATAGAAAGAATAGTGTATGTATGTATGTATAGTATAAGGTTTTACGGCGCTCGCAACTGCTAAGGTCATATGAGCGCGCGAAACACAAGTTGTTCACTTTTACAAAAGTTCACTTCACGACTGGTTAACTAATTGACTTTAAAATGCTAAAAAGTTAAAATATTTCAATTCAGTGTAAATACATTT